TTTTAAGGATGATGTGGAACCTGAGTTTCTGGATGGCCATGGAAATTACAATGGGGAGTCGTTTGAATCTTGTGAATCCAATGTTATTACTAAAGAGAAGAAAAGTTGGTTCAGTCGGAGCAAGAAAGGTTTGAAGAACACTCGAGATGTTCCCGATGATTTAAAGATACAGAAAAAATTGTTTAAGTACTTGATGCAAGTGGCGGATCATTATCCGAGTATTTTAGGAAGGATATTGGGGAAAAATCCAACGACAAAAGCAGCACGAAGAAGAAGAAGAAAGGTGCCCCTAGAGGGTCAAAGAATGAGAGCGAGTATCAAGAAAGGTTGTGGTTTACACCAGATTTTCCTTTGAAAGCAGAGGAACTCTTGCCTTTACTTTGACATGCTGGCTAACAAGGTGAAAGCTGTCAGGAGATTGAGAGAGGTTTTGAAATCTCATCCTGGCACCTTTCCGGTCAAGTTACTAAAAATATGGATTAATTTCTGTAAATCAACTTGCTTACACTAATATTAATCAACGACGAAAAGCAAAGGTCAGAATTGATCCTCATGGTAGATGTCCCAGTGGCAGTAAGCTCAAGGAACATTCGAGGGGGCTTTCACCTTACACCCAAACACTAACTTGAGTTTCCAAATAGATTACGATCCCTAATCACTGTTCATAGTATGAATAATGTAGAAAGCACGATTCTGTCGTTCATAAATCATAGTTCGTTTACAAACAGCTGCAACTTGTTATAAGATTAAAAAGAAGGGGAAAAAACCAAAAACCAAAATCATTACAGAAACTCCATTATGACACAAACTGGACACAGGCAACTACAAGTCAAGAAATAAGAATCTAAAAGATTTAAAGAAAGGGCAACAAGAAAATAACATAATACTGCACCTTAACCACGCTAATTCCCATCAAGAATAATGTGCTAGGAAAAACACTAGGCATATTCTAAAAGAAATAATTTATATTTATGTTTCTTAAAACTAAACTAGACAACAGAAAGATGTAAGAAGTTTTACTTTTAGGTAGATTTCTCCATCTGATTACCAGTCAACATTCGGCCAAGTCCTTTTTAGCTCGACAAGAGTATGATGCTATGTGCAGGTATGCTCAACATTCCATAAACAGGCTTCCAACAAATTGCTGGTGGGGTCAGAGAATGCTGCTGATCCTTTTTTGACGTCTTATCGCCCCCCACAAAACTACTGATTTTCTGCTTGATAGCCCGCTTGAAACAAAGAATCCATTATAAACACCTGGAAAAATATATTATCAATAACTGAATTTGAAGTCTGAAAGCAGAAATTTTTAGCAGTAAGCTAGCAGATATTAACCAATTAAAACATTTCAATTTAACTTCTGATTTTCGTCCTGGCATCTCAAAGTACATCAAAGGTCTGAGTTCACAAGACAAAGATTTAGTATCCACTGTCTGTCATGAAAAATTCATTTGTTTACAGTTCTGTAAAATGGTAACATGGCTCAGTATAAACAAAAAACAATACTTCAGGTTTTTATATTTGTCTCAAAGAAAAGAAACGAGAAGGACTCAACAAAAAATGAGAGACAAAAATCTTTTATCTCAAAATTTATTCTACTTATTTCACCAAGATATTTTTCTATTTAAAAGTTTTCTGCTAAGAAAGTTCTGGCATGTTCTGTCTATCTATAGACTGTCATCTACGTCTATAACAGTGGAGACAAAATGCAGCCAAAATTTTGGAACTAAATTGACACTACCATCATCAACAAACTTTAAATGTATTTACCAAGATCGTTTCTGAAGTGGATTGGTAAGTCGTCAGATCATAAGTACCAGTTGACGTATAGATGTGGTTATGCACTATTCAATTAAAGCGCCAACAATAAATAAATAATTTTGGCTTGAAAAGGCAGAAAAAATCTCACCAAACATAATTTAAAAGGGAGCCTCGAGTGATTCATCCCAAACATCTGCACTTCCATTAGAGGCATCTTCTGCATCTTCTTCCATCGATAACCTAATATATTCTCTGTGCGCAAAGCGGTCCCATTCGGTCAAATTTGGGTTCTCACGCTCCTGTTCAAGGAAAAAGATAAGTCTTGACAACCCTGGCTAAGCATATCCCAAAACACATCATCGTCAAATATCAGATACAAATAAATAAAATTGCATCAATTACCTGACGGATTAGAAATGGATCACGAGTTTCAAAAGCCATGAACTTATTGAGGTTAAAAAGGATATTAAAAACACTGCCCGAGAGCTTACTGCCCTTTAAGTCCTGCAGCGTAAAATAGCTCTCATCCTGAAAATGGAAGAATTTCAAAATCACAACATGCTATACCTGGCAGACAATCCCTGTTACAGGAGCAACTTGTCCAGCCATAATAGCTCACTAGATGCTAAATGAATTAGCACTCTAAACCCAAACCCTAAAGAATTTGCATAACTAGCTTTCAAGTTTGTCAAGAGATCCACATCAGACAGTGCGAGCAAATTACATCCTACCAGTCTACTTCATTTCAGCTTTCTTCTCAAAGAATAACTTTTCCTGGAAAAATCTATGAGGCCACTACATGCTATCAGATTACCTAAATGCAAGCTAAAATTTTCAAAATAATATCACTTTTATAGATTAAAGCAGAGTTAATCTGGATATTACATTCTCATCCTTTTTTGTTCTATGCTACGTCACGAATCAGGCAAGATCACAATATGGTCTCGAGGAAAAAATTTTGGGATACTGAGGGGAGTGCTGCTCCAAGCGTGATACCAATTGTTAAGAGCAAGCTCTAATAGTCTCTACTTAACAAATTTGCTTGATGATAGTTTAACACACTTCTCGAAGCTGTTCCACCTGTTATTTGTTTGAGCAAATCATTAAACATTGCACAATCCTCGGCAGTGGGAAGAAGGCAGATAGGGCTGAAGAAGAAAATATTTCTTTTGATCTGTGGACAGAAGATCATTCGGTATTGCTTCGGAGAAATCAGTTGTTTGCACTAATGGATCCTGTTTAGGGCTTTTAGATTTGTTTTCTTGGTTTTATTATTCTAATAAATTATTAATTGGACTCCTGCTCCGACTTTTTCATTTTGATGCTCTCAAACTCCCGGTCATACATTATTTAACCAAGAATCTGCACCTTCCGACTTCTCCTTAAAACACCAAAAGCACAAATAAGGAAAAAAAAAAAGAAAAGAAAAAAAAAAGAGGATGAAATTCAAAATTCTAAAGAGAGAAAAATGCAATCTAAAGATGTTCACCTTCGGACTAATCATGTCAACTATCTGGCACAAAATATCCTCAAAAAGCACAGGCTCTTGGGCCATGCATTCCATTCTATGTAACTGCTCCTCATAAAAGAACTGCATTTCATTCCTTGTAATAATTCCATTCCCATCCAAATCTATGCACTTGAACCTGATAAAAAGACATTCAACTTGCCATATATAAAAGATTGAACAAACAAATTGAATTTAGTGAAAACTGTAGGAATTCAAACTAGCTACATATGGGAATCTTCAGTTTACTATAATTATGGGTTCATATTTTTAGGGATATTAATCTTCTGTATATAGCTGGAATTTACTTCCCTTAAATAATGTAAATTAGTTCCTAGAAATCAGGATCTTCTCCACAGATCTTTTTATATACATATATATATACCTATATTGTACCTAATGAATAAGAATAGAAAATTACTCCCATTCTATTCTGCTTCATGGTATCAGAGCCAAGCTCCTAAAACCTAAATTTTTCATCTGTCTGGCCGCCGGCCCTAACCTATTCTCAATTCATATTTCTCTGTCACCTCTGTGATAATCTCATCCTCCATGGCCGAATCTGAACAAACTTCCAAGGACTCATCATCATCTCCCAATACTCCTATCAATTCTCAGGTCACTCAGACCACTCCCGAAAACAATATTACCCCTATAATCAACCACAAGCTCAATGGCCACAACCATCTCCAATGGTCGCAATCCATAATAATGTTTATCAGTGGACGAAGCCGGGATGATTATCTTACAGGGGCTGCTGCCCAACCAAGTTCAAGTGATCCCAGATTCAGAGTTTGGAGGGCAGAAAACAACCTGGTCATGTCCTGGTTAATTGGCTCAATGACTACCGAGATAGGTGAGAACTTCCTTCTCTACACTACAGCTAAGGAAATATGGGATGCAGCCCGTAACACCTTCTCTAGTAGTGAGAATACTGCTGAACTCTTCCATGTAGAGAGTATCCTACATGATCCAAGGCAAGGAGAAAACACAGTCACCACCTACTTCACCACTCTGACGCGACACTGGCAACAGTTGGACCTCTTTGAATCTCACGAATGGAAATGTCCTGATGACAGCACCTATTTCAAGAAAATAGTAGAGACCAAACGCATCTTCAAGTTTCTGATGGGTATTGATAAGTCCCTTGATGAGGTGCGAGGTCGGATACTTGGAGCCAAGCCCCTACCAAGTCTTCGAGAAGTCTTTTTCGAGGTACGCCGAGAGGAGAGCAGAAAACGAGTCATGATGGGACATTCTAATACACCTGCATCCACTGATGGCTCAGCCCTTGCTGCAGCCAAAGACCACGTGTCCATGGTCGAACCTGCTGCTTGTGCCGCTCGCGGGATGTTCCAGACTCCCGGTGAAAATCGACCACGAAGGGGACGTCCTTGGTGCGACCACTGTAAGATGCCAGGCCACGAAAAAGTAACCTGCTGGAAGTTACATGGAAAGCCGCCAGATTGGAAGCCAAACAGGGCTGCTGGCTATCGTGAAAGTCGGGTAAATACAGTCTCTATAGAAGCAACTAAATCACAAAACCAAAACCCTTTCACGAAGGACCAGTTGGAGCTGCTTCAGCACCTGATTAGCAAGGGAAATACGTCAGCCAGTCCATTAAAAATTGGGACAGGGGACAGATCTGTGCACAACAATGGAAACCAGGCACTTCATGTGAATCAATCACCCTTAACTTCTTGGATAGTGGATTCAGGCGCATCAGACCACATGACAGGTGATAGATCACTGTTCTCAATTTATACTCCATGTCAGGACTATCAAACAGTGCGTGTTGCCAATGGTTCACGCTTAAGAGTTGTTGGAATAGGAACCATATATCTCTCACGCAATCTTATCCTGCACTCAGTGTTATTTGTTCCTGATTTTAATTGTAATCTAATCTCTGTAAGCAAAATAAACCGTGATCTTCACTGCGAGACTAAATTTTTTGGCAAATCTTGTGTTTTTCAGGACTTGGGTTCGGAGAAGACAATTGGCAATGCTGAACTTTGTGCAGGCTTGTATCTCCTCAAAGTAGACTCTTCTTCTATCCCAGCTCAGAGTCATAATAAGACTAGTTTTAGACCCCAGTGTTGGTCAGCTCATGGTCATGAGTCAATAGGTCAGTCCAATAAAACAAGTGCAATCATGTTGTGGCACTACCGTTTAGGTCATCCAAATTTCTTGTAATTGAGTCGTTTGTTTCCTTCATTAATAAAGATGCAAAGTTATTTCAATGCGATGTCTGCCAATTATCAAAGCACACTCGAAGTACATATATCCCACATCCATACAAACCAACTCTCCCTTTTTCTCTTATTCATGGTGATATCTGGGGACCAACCAAAATCCCTAATATTTCTGAAGCAAGGTGGTTTCTATTGTTGGTTGATGATCATACTCGATTAAGCTGGACCTTCCTCATGAAAGATAAATCTGAAACCAGCCAAATCTTTAAAACTTTTCATGCCATGATTCAAACTCAATTTCAAGCCAAAATTCAAGTCCTTAAAACTGATAATGCCCGAGATTTCTTCAACTCCATTCTCAGTCCGTATCTCCAATCTTATGGAATTGTCCATCAAAGCTCATGCGTGGACACAGCTCAACAAAATGGTGTGGTAGAACGCAAAAATCGTCGTGTACTTGAAGTTGCTCGTTCATTACTGTTCCAGTTTAATGTACCTAAGAAATTCTGGGGCGAGGCTGTTCTTACCGCAACCTATCTCATTAATAGAATGCCCTCACGTGTGTTAAAATTTAAAACTCCAGTGCAATCCCTCCTTGATCTCTATCCAAACTCACACCTACTTTCCCAAATTCCCCTTAAAATTTTTGGATGCACTACCTTTATTCATGTCCACCCTCATAGCCGAGGGAAACTTGATGAACGGGCACTCAAATGCATCTTCATTGGATACTCACCGAACAAAAAAGGATATAAATGTTTTTCTCCTCTCACCAAAAGGGTTTATCACACCATAGATATCACATTCTTTGAAGATAAACCATTTTTTCCCAATTCTGTAATTCAGGGAGAGACAGACACACATGAATCACAAAATTGGGATTGGACAACTCTCATTGATCCAGTACCAAGTCCAACTCCACTCAATTCAATTCTTCGCTCACCTAACCCGGAGTCTCCATCACCTTCAAGCCCACAGACAGTAGCTGGCTCTCCGAACACATTTAAGTCACCCAATTCACCTCCAGATAAGTCAGAAATGTACCCAAAACATCTCCACCTTCCTGATGAGGCAATAAAAGTCTATAGTAGGAGAAAACAACCTCAACAGCCTGTTCAAAATCAGCAAAACCAGGAGTCCAATCCGAACTCAGCAATTCCTGAAATAGCGCAAGGTAAGACTAAACCTAACACAGAATACAGTGTTGAAGAGGTTGCAAAATATGATCCAGACTTGGATCTACCTATTGCTCAGAGAAAGGGAATTCGCTCATGTACACAGCATCCTATCCATAACTATATGACCTACTCCAAACTTTCCCAGAAATTCAGAGCATTTGTGACTACTCTAGACAAAATCCAGATTCCAAGAACAGTTCATGACGCATTAAAAGTCCCAGAATGGAGAGCTGCTACTCTGGAAGAATTTCATGCCCTTGAAAAGAACGGCACATGGACTCTAACATACCACCTGGAAAGCAAACAGTTGGGTGCAAGTGGATTTTCTCAGTAAAACAAAAGGCTGATAGGTAGTGTTGAACGGTTCAAAGCCCGCTTGGTAGCCAAGGGCTATACTCAATCATATGGAATTGACTATCAGGAAACATTTGCTCCTGTAGCCAAACTCAATACAGTACGGGTTTTGTTATCTATTGCTGTGAACTAAGATTGGCCTTTATTTCAACTTGATGTGAAAAATGCATTTTTGTATGGGGACTTAGTCGAAGAAGTATATATGGATATGCCTCCTGGGTTCGAAACTAATTGTACACGAGACAAAGTCTGTCGGCTTCGAAAATCACTGTACGGACTCAAACAATCACCCTGTGCATGGTTTGACAAATTTACAAGGGTGCTAAAACAAGATGGATACTTGCAGTCTCAAGCTGATCATACTCTTTTCATCAAACACTTCACAAACGGTAAGATTACTATGTTAATAGTGTATGTTGATGATATAGTTCCCACGGGAAACTATGAAGAGGAAATGAGGAGACTTAAGCTTCTCTTATCCAAAGAGATTGAAATCAAAGACTTGGGACATCTAAGATATTTTTTGGGAATGTAAGTGGCTAGATCAAGTAAGGGAATTTCAGTTTCCCAGCGAAAGTATGTCTTGGATCTCTTGAAGGAAACAGGTAATAGTGGGTGTAGGCCAGTGGACACTCCTATGGACCCTAACACAAAGTTAAAATCTGAAGCTGAAGAAATGCTTGTGGATAAAGGACAATATCAACGCTTAGTAGGGAAGTTGATCTATTTGACTCACACGCGTCCGGATATAAGTTTTGCAGTGAGCCTTGTTAGTCAATTTCTAAGCAATCCTTCAGAAACACACATGGAGGCAGTTTACTGTATTCTTAGATATCTTAAACGGGATCCTGGAAAGGTGCTAATGTTCAAAAAGACTCTTAATCGCTCCTTAGAGGTCTACACGGATGCGAATTGGGCTGGATCCCCCATTGACCGAAAATCAACTTCAGGGTATTGCTCCTATGTATGGGGAAATTTAGTGACATGGCGGAGTAAAAAACAACAGGTGGTGGCACGAAGTAGTGCTGAGGCAGAATTTCGAGCCTTAGCTCAGGGTATTTGTGAAGGAATCTGGTTAAAACGGCTACTGGGTGAACTCAAAGTCAGCATTTCTGGTCCTATAAATATGATGTGTGACAACCAATCAGCTATAGCTATTGCCAAGAACCCTGTCCATCATGATAGGACAAAACATGTTGAGATCGACCGACACTTCATCAGCGAAAAGATAGAAAGCAATGTTATATCACTGAAACATGTTCCATCTCGGCTTCAAGCAGCAGACATCCTCACAAAGGCACTCTTTCGTCCGAACTTCATTGAGCTAAGTTCCAAACTTGGTTTAATGAGTATATACCGCCTAGTTTGAGGGGGAGTGTAGGAATTCAAACTAGCTACATATGGGAATCTTCAGTTTACTATAATTATGGGTTCATATTTTTAGGGATATTAATCTTCTGTATATAGCTGGAATTTACTTCCCTTAAAATAATGTAAATTAGTTCCTAGAAATCAGGATCTTCTCCACAGATCTTTTTATATATATATACCTGTATTGTACCTAATGAATAAGAAGACAAAATTACTCCCATTCTATTCTACTTCAAAAACAGATTAAACCATCAAGAATGGAGAGCATCGAAAATTCAGATGATTATACTTCACACACCAAAAGTTAACTAACAAAGGTACAAAGAGAGATAGTTGCAATTAGATAGGAGCAAAACAGTGTTCCAAGTTCCCTATGATGTGACTGCAATGAAGAATATTCATAATTTTTACCAAATTCCAAGAAATCCAACAGAAACTACAGTCAAATGTCTAGCCATATAAATCATTCATACATTTTCCCAACCCCCATTGGAAACTCTGGGAGAAATTTAACAGTCATGCTCTCTATATAAAAACCAAAACCAGATTTTACTTCCTCAATTAAGCAACCCCACCACAAGAAGGTAGCAGTATCGGATTGCAGGGCAGGGAACTACAAACACGTCAGAAGCTTCAAAGTGAATCAGCTTAAAATAATTTCCTGATCCCAAAGCTCAAAGCTGTAAGAGCTAGTCGTTACCATGTTCTCCACTTTGAAGACCAGAACATTAGTAAGTAGGAATTCTAGAACTCAGAATCATTTCATTCTCCTTTGTACATTAATATTTATATTGAAACATAAATTTCTTCTATGATTAACTAGGGTTCAATTAGATCACATCAGGATGAAAATTCAAAGGTGCTAGTCCACACATGGACAATGGCAAAATGTCTTTTAATATTCACAAATCAAGCAATAGACATACCAGTACTCAAGACTAGGCTCTGATGACTTATCCTCTTCTGATAATATGAAGTAAACAAAATCTTCATATCCCATCTTCCCTTCAACCTTACTTGTAAACTTTCTGGGAATCTAGTCAAATTCGAAAGATTTTATATTACAAGCGATGGACGAAGCATTAAATAACAAATAGATCAAATTTCTTAAAAGTGCGGAATACGGCTTTTCTAGGGGGAAAAAATAAAAATAAAAATAAAAAATCTTTAAATAAGACAAACCTGAGAGAATATTCTATCAACAATCCTGTAGGTGAGTGCATGATTACCATATCTAATGAGGTTCTCTTTATCAATCAGAAAATCATGATCTGTATCCAGCTCCCAAAACTTGCAATATATCACATAAAAATGTTCATAAGAGAAGTACCTGCAACAATAGGGAAAATGGAATCAGAAGATGGAGGAGATCAATATGAATCTCTATGTTAATATGATATATGATCGTAAGAAAAGAAGATAGCCACGTAACATTCCAAGATAAGATAAATTAACATATCGTAGAATGTCCATTTATTTGTAAATCAGAACCTTGGCATGAGGTTTCCGTGCGATTTTTTTTTTTTTTTCCCTTGAGTAGGACAAGAAATTGAATATTGGTGAACTAACCAAATAAGACTGTTTATGCCTTCTAAAAGGCCATCATACGACATTCTAATAACAGTCTTATCACCTTGTAGGTACTTTACCAAGCCATGGTAAAATTTATTTGCCCTTATGGGAAAAAAAAAAATAATAAATAAATAACAAGCATTTCCTCAAGACCAGTAATGAGATGCTCCATTTACCGCAAGACTTTGTTGATATCCTCTTCTTCATCAGCATGTTGCATTGCAGCAATTAAGTTCGAACGTCTTAGCTCCCTGAGGGTAAGACGACCATTGCCCGATCTATTCACATAGTAAAATATTCTGTATATCACAGTTTCAGCTGGCCAACAATAAATTGTAACTGTTAGAATTCAACAGAGAAATATAAGGACAAAACTTGCCAAAAATTGGAACTAAACTCAAACAGTAATGGGCCAACAAAGACAGAAAAATATTCACACTGGCAGTCAACCAACTCAACACATGCCTCCTGGGTAGCCAAAGCACCATGATCACACAAGAGCAGTTTGAAAGCAACCATAAGAAAAGAAAAAAACTAAGCTACATTCCATGCTGAAGATCATCATCCAGCATAAAACTCGCTTCAAAACTAATGCACACAAAAAGACAACCTGCATAAAACTATATCTCCAGAATAAAATCTTTTAACATTTCCAATATTGGGAAAGAAAGATGTGAAAACAGATACCTTATAATGTTGATCACCCACTCTCAAAATGCTTGGAATTCTAACTTCAACGTGAAGTCAAATATACAGGCTAAAGGTGACTCAAAACGCTTTGGTCAAAGCCATTCATATGAATAATTTTTGCATACTACCCAGAGAACCAATTAACATAAGGACATGGTAAAGATGGGTAAAAAAAGCGTATCAAACATCGACTGTCTCTAACATGCCAGCATGTATCCAGCACGCCACGTCGAATATCCTAATTTTTGTATTATTCTCTAAGTTTCTTACATTGAATGAACATTATCCTAAACATCTAGGATATGTACCCATAATGCCAATTGGTGTCTCATATTTTTGTGAAAATTTTATTTTTGAAAACAAGATATTGGCCCTTACACATCAAAGATATGACAAAGGTCATTTCGTAAATTCTGCAGTATTAGGGAAAATTTATAATTAAAAGCATGTTTGGATAAGTTTCATAAGTATAAGAGCAAATAAATTTACTAATATGTAAATAATTAAGTGTTTGTTTGGGAGAGATTAATTGAAGTGAAAAATGATTTATTTATTTTTTTTAAAAGTGTAATTAAAAAGTAGGAAAAAGTTATTGGTCCACGAGCAAATTTATTTTATTAAGAGAATATATGGTTGAAAATGAATTTGAAGAAAAAATATTTTCAATTAAGTTGTGCCAAGCAAATCATAAGTTATAAAATAAATATTTTTTTATTGACGAGAATAGAAAATAAGTTGCGTACTTCAACATTAAACTAAGGGTAACCATTTTAAATGACTTCTTTAACATAAAAGTAAGAAAAAAGTAAGTTATCCAAACATGTATGGCCCAAAAAAGTGAACTATACATTTTTATGCTTAACCAAACATGCTAAAAACATTTTTCTTTCACGTAAATCTTTGATCAAAGCATTTTGATCAAGATTATTCCTCAAAAAAGTGAACTTTACAACATGTTACACCACTCTATATCAGTTGCAATAAAATTTGGATAGTAAGATCATAAAATTAATGATAGAACAATTTGGAGCCCAGAGTGCTTGAAACTTCAGACTCATTGCAATAATGTACTGTATAATTTGATAAAAATACGTGGAGAGATTATTTTGACAAATCATTTAATATAAGCCATGACATGATATGAGAATAAGTTGAACTACACCATAGATATAAAACTTAACTCTGTATATATATATATATATATATATATATATATATATATAATTTTTTTTCGGGCCAACTTACGCGCACCTTGGCTAATCTCACAGGCCCTGAAGTTTACAACCGAGTGCTCACCTCAGTAGCATAAAACTTAACTATATTGGAAGAATTAGATCAGGGTAGGAAGTTTACAAAGAGGATAATTATGAGAAAACCAATTGGTCCAGACAAAAATCTGTATTGAAGTGTCTCAAGTAAAAAGTAGACATTTCATGGTTGGGAAATTTTTTCAATAGATCTTAAAGAGTCAAATGACACATGAATAGAAGACGTGTGTCATTGTGCCTATTTACAAGAATAAAGAATAAATTCAAGATTTTCCAACCTAACCATGTTTATACATTACTGACAAAAGTATGGGAGATGGTGAGTCAGCATTGAATAAGGTATAATTTAGTTGTGTCAGAGAAACGGTTTGGTTTTGTTATAGGGAGTTCTACTATGGGGCAACCTACCTACTACGGAGATAAGAAACATGTTTTTCAATTATTTTTATTAAGGTGCAAAGTACGGAGGATGCCAAGGAATACAAGGATTTATGTTAGAAATGTCAATATTATTCAAGATATTATGATCATGGCGTCAGGGTTATGAGATAGTAGTGTTAATCCAATGAACCAACATCTAAATTTTGAAATATTAGCTAAGCAGTCCAAACTGCTAATTAGATAGGATTTTTTATTGGTTTTGCTCGGATGGGTATTACCAAAAAAGGAATACCTCCTCTCTCCCAACTGACCAATCCAAGAGAAATGTACCTTTCCCATAGATTTTGTGGGGGTTGGGGGAAGGGGAATCATTTTGTTTTTTCATGTTTTCATGTGTTGTTTAAGACTTGAACAATAGAAATAAACAGCGAATGTCTTCATATTGATCATGTCATGTTTTCAAGTCTACTAGTATGACATTTCAGGGTTCCTTCTTTTCATGGCCAATCCGAAAGAATTCAGTATTTCTAGGTTGAGAATGTATGAACTTTTCGGTCATCAAAAAATTCTCGTTTGAGCAGTTCATACGATCCTTACATCTAAGATTTTAATTTTTTTTGTAGTTCAAGGTGATTTTGCATCTCACATCGATAGATATGTCTAGTTTCATATGATATATAGACTGGACTATCTACAATGATGGATAAATGGAAAGAAGAAAAAAAGCTAACTGTTAAAAAAATGCAAGAAAATCCTAAGTGGCATCCACCCCTATGCATATGCAGTAATCATTTTTCTATTCATCTCTAGCCTTGTAAAAGAATTATTTTCGATCCAATATGTAGGAATCAATAGAAAAGGCAAAACACGTGAGGATGCAGTCAAGATCACCAAAAAAAACCACACCTGAAAACTAGTCCAATTGAGAGTTTTCTAATTCCACCAATCAAATGCACACATAAAACACGCACATTATTTAGGACTGTATGAATTTTTTATATTCTTAGCAAGAAAAGTTAACTATGGGGTCCGTTGTAGCATTCAAACCTAACCATTAGATGAAGAAACTAATAGGACGATAACTAGTAAGTCACGACGTTTGAGGAACACTATGGAATATAAAGGTTTGTATTAATTAGAACTAAGATGAAGCACATACAATGTCTTTTTCTTCTCATGGTAGGAATAAGACTGACAATGAGTTATTACATAGGATTGTGTTGCCTCAATGAGTAACTAACTAGGATTTGAGTGATATTATAATTAGTAATAATGAATTCGCAATTTAACTAGGCTTAAAAATAAGTAAAATTTACGTTTACGTTTAACACAGTATTTTTTACTTAACTAACTTTTTATATTTTATAAGTGAACTTTGATCTCAATTAAATTTTTAAGTTATAAGTAATTTTTTACTTACTAACTTAATTTTGTACTTCTAAATAAATTTTTACATATAAGTGAATTTTTTACTTACAAGTAACTTTTTATATTTTATAAGTGAACTTTTATCTTACTAGTAGTATTTTTATTTTATACAATTTTTTACACAAAAGTGATTTTTTCATCTTTTAAGTAATTTATAAATAATTTTTTTTGGTAAGTTTTTTATTTACAAGTTAGTTTTAAACAAAATATATCATTTGAAAATAATTATTTTATGTAGGATAAAATGGCAAGAGAATTTGAGAAATGGCCAAAATCACCGATTTGGTGAGTTAAGAAATAAGGCCAAAATTACACTAAAAGTGCATAAAAACACTAACAAGCACCAATTTTTCCAACCTCTCATAAACGGTGCCACTCGAAAAGGTCAAAATTGAAGGAAAAAAATTTCCCAAGCAAGCCCTGAAGGGATTTAGATGAGTATAAGATAGTTAAGAAATTTAATTCTACTAGAAGCATGAGATAATTATTCAAGAAAAATAAGGAAGTTAAAAGTTAAGATTTCTTGTAACATTTCCTCGCCTAATGGGAATCTTATATACTCTATATATGTGGTTGTACTCTTATGTATTTTTGTCTGAAAATAGAGATTGTCCCTTGCTTTCACGATAATGGCAATAACATTTAAAAAATCAACAACAGAGAGGGTATTTGAGCCCCATTTTTATGAAAAATGCATTTTAGAATAGTGGATTAATGAAAAATGTGTGGTTGAAAATGAGAAAAAGTTTTTGATTTACGTGTAATATCATTTTAATGAAGAATGGATGGTTGAAAAGAAGAAAGAGAAAAATGTATTTTGGAGAAAATGGGAATCAAACAAAGCCATAATATATATAAAGCCGAAAAAAAAAAATATATATATATATATATATAAGGATAAACATTACGAGAAAAAAGAGTAAATAACAGAATATACCATATCGTTCTTGAAATTCAGGTGTACTTTGCAAGAACTCCAATCCTGGATGAGTTGCCAAAAGTTCTCGAAGCACAGGTTTGAAGTCTTCCTATTATCAAGATGATGGGTATTGCAAAAATAAGAAGAGGTAAATAAATATCATTAAACTAAAAGTTGCATGACGGGGCATTTTGCTTGTGTTATAACCTGAGTCAAGAATATGAGATCTCGCTGCTTCAAGATTGTGTATATCTGCGTTGGTATATCTTTAGTCAACATGTTACCATGAATCCAATAATCAACAAATGCATCCCTGTATGTGTAGTGATAGAAAAAGTAAGAGTACATCAATTTAACCGAACAAATATTGGTCAAAATCATTAATTAAGATCAAAAGAGCAAACAATGGTTATTAATTGAAACTGATACAGTAAAAGGAAGATTTTAGCTTCCTTAAACATTGTTAAGTTGTCTGTTAAATGTAGTATTTGCTTAACTATTAGATTTAGTCTACTCAATCACGTGATTCTCTTCTTAGCTGCTAATTTTTGCAGCTTGAGAAATTTCAACCCGCTAATAATTACCTATACATCAGAGGTGCAGTTAAAACCTAAGTACTCAAGGAATCTTGTTTTTGAAAATTATTTATGTTGTGATTTTTTTACTTTGGCTTTTTCCTGGCATAGCATTGAAACTATTTGGAGTAATTTCTGTTTCCAAACTTCTTTCCCTTTTACTCAAATTATTTATGCAATTTTAGCATACCGTATGTAACATTACATTAAAATCCACGGTAAGTTTTCTGGATCTAAGTTGCAAAGTGGCTTCTTTTTTCTGACACTGCTAACTGTTCAGAAGATAACACCAAATTGCAAACAGATAGAGAACGGACTCACTCCCAGCAAAAATCAATTTCTCCTAAAAGACTAAGCAAATATCATCAAACAGGTGAATGTTCCCCAAAACTTCCCAATTATCGAAGAGTCCAAGCTCTAATGAAATTTTTTGAACAAGGCATTATAAGAACCAACTTCCTATCTTGTGGACAATAAATTCCTAACAAAAGTCTTTCCCCTTCACTTATCTTCAAGAACTTTACATGAAGTTAAAGGAGGCTCTTCTGATTGTTCCCTTGCCTTCTCTCTTTTCCATTATCATCTCTTTGCAGACTTCAAGTTCTGCACTCCCAGTGCCTTTGTTGTAATATATAATAAGAGGGTTCTAGACAAAAATTCTGTAACTCGCACTTCTTTGATAGAATTCTCCGTCAACTTCACGCACATCAACCACCTCATAATGATGAACTTGGCTCCAGCACAATAATTTACAAGATGACAGGATTTCATACTAATACAGAAAAGCTAGCCTGCTCTACCAGTAAATCAAAGATTAATTTAATGCAATGCGTGCACAATTAGAAAGGATTTTGAGAAACAGAAACAAACATAGAGAAACAAGACAGCTTACAGCAGCAGTAAATCTATAATACATGCACTTGTTCATAAATTTGACAGGATAAATGTGTCCGAAACCTACCATATTTCAGTGCATCTCATTAAATAATTCACACTCACCAAGTTTTAGTAGTTCAAAGAAGACAGTGTTTTTGCAAAATAATATTAAAGTCAGTAATTTTATGTGACCATCAGGACGCCAGCTTGTTACCTGATTCTGAATTTGCTTAAATACAAGTAAGTAGACTTCAAATAAACAGCACACAATCCAACATTTTGATATTTAAAGAAGTTGAACCAGCTGTGATATTTTTTTTCTCTTGATTAAGTACCTCGTGTAAAGTTGATCTTTTCTCAAATTAGTGCATTTAGGAGAGAGAGAAGTTCACAACGGCATATACATTGATAAAATAACTCAAAAAATGAGTAGAACAGCAGATACCTGGTTACAACTCCAGTGCCATCAGAGTCAATCTTTCTAAAAAGCACGGTGGAGAAGAATGATGGAAGCTTGCAAATTTCCTTGGTAACTGGTTTAAATTCTGATATCCCCGGAAAATTAGTTTAGTTAATATACCACTCATCATCAAATATCTGAGATACTTTATATTGTGAGTTTCAGGTCTATGACAAGCACAAGTAGATAACATAACAAATGACCCTGACATTCTCGGAACTTATATGTTTCACGTGCATGTTCTATAATAAGTAAAGAATGCTTAATACATGAACATGCTGTAAATCTCACCATTCATTTGGAGTCCATTGATGTGACCATAGAAAAACTGATTGATTCTAAACAAGCATCGTTCTTTTAATTCACTCGGAGGAGGACACCCATTTTGAAAATAGAACTGCATTCAGCTATAAGCATTAGCAAACAAAAACTGCAAACCTGGAACGACTACCATAAAAAATATAGAAATTTACGAGATATTATACAAAAATAATAATATAACCTGAGGTATAAGCTCTTTTACAGGCTCGTTCACTAATTTCAGGGGAGATCCTAAAGCAGATGGGCCTGCTCTCTGTTTCACTACCCGAGGTGAACCCGCTGAGCTTCTGGGTGAAAGTGGCGGGGTACTGCCAGCAGGAAACATTGATGGTAATGTGTTGCTTGCCACAGCATTTGTACCGGATGATGTCCCAGAGGCATTCAAGGGGCCACCTGACTTAGCGCTACCGAGCAATGATTTTACCTGTAGTTTACAGTTAGATAGTTGTTTAAGGACAGGTCCAATATCTGAACAAACAACTAGTGAATTGCAGGAATTGCCTTCTACTTGCAAATGTAAATAATATTGAAGAAAAGTTGCTTGGGAAGACAGGTACATTAAGTTAGAGACTTTCAAATTGATGTCAATAATTGCAATAGAATCAATGTAAGACATGAAAGTTGCCAACTGCATCGTTTCAGTACCAGATTACGTCAATAGTTCAATAGCTAGAAGAAAAGGAATATGTCTCATATTACTTTAGGGCCTCATACGAATTGCATCTACAATATGTAGCATATGCAATTCTTCAAACTCGTCAAAAAAGGAATTTACTCAGCAAACTATTTGAAGAATGTTCACTAGTATATATCATATCAGCATCAAACACATTAAAAGCAGCCCATACAAAACCATCTTGAACGCAAAATGAGATATTCACACAGAGTATCTTAAGATATTTAGCAGCCGAGGTTCTAAATCTTCAATATATCATTCTATGATAGAATTGTAGGCTTGACTGGTATGTTAAAACGGAAGAGAAAGAAGAAACAGAAAAGAAATAAATTTTTCAAAAAATACAAGGACGAGACTCTTTGGCCAGCAAGTCCCTCAAACATCTGTCCAATATGTTTTAGTGAAAAAACCATATTATGAGAACTTAAGATTCTCTTTCTACAACTCCACACAACCCTCCACTCCAAATAGTATTTATATTCTTAATGATTCCTCACATTTGAAATTTGATGGGACCTAGGAATTCTATCAACTATAAAGCAGGGAAGGACAAAGACAATGGCCAATTGAATTTGAATTCAAAGGGAATGGTAATGTGGATTCTGGAAGATATATTTTTACTCCTTCAATTTTCATTTTGGAGAAGGTATGGCATATGATGCACAGAAGATCCATATGTTGAATGATTGCTTAGTTGCACTTGTATTGTGCCTTAGGAATACAATTTACTTTACCCATAGAAAAGCAATCAAACTAATAGCATTCCAGATCATTTACTTCCAGCGTTGATAATAACAAGGTAATGAGAATCTATCACAGAGTTAACAGGTTTTTCTAGGAAACGGAACTCACATCAAATTTTGTTACAATAAGTGGCAGAGGCATTATTCAAAATGCTGAGTTTTAGGAGCCCATCCAGTTTGCAGAATAAAGTAAACGCATTTGCACACAAAATATATCACCAAAAGTAATGCGCCACTCTATGATGCTCGGACTCGGGTATGAGTACGTATCTAAGTGTCGGATTTTTTATTTTCTAGAATGTAGGATACGGGGGTATGATTAAAAAGAGTCCAATTTCGGATACGGGTAATTGGGTATGTCTTTTAAACTTCTTTTTTTTTTTTTTTCCAAAAATTCAAATGTAAAAAGTTAAATAAATACTTAAAATTTTCATTAAAAAAGGATTAAATGACTAAAATGAAAATTTAATCAAAAGTATGGTGACTTCTAATGAAAATCTTCCTAATCAAACTCCAACTTACAGCAAATATGTTATCATATGGGCTAGGGCAAAAAGGATTTCTAATTATAATTAGCCTTAGCATTAGGTAATGGACCTAATTTTTTTTTTTTTTTTAAAAAAAGGCCCAACAAACTCTTTATCTTGCCTTTCCCTATTCCCTATTCTTCACTTCACGTCATTACCAGCGGTGTGCCTTCTGCAAGTTTTCATCTTCCAACTTGGAAATTCCAGAGGAGCAGCACAGCAATCGCGCCACCTCTCCCAGCACTGGCTCCGTCGCCGATGAGGATTCTTCGGGCTCGAACTTGGATTCAATGAAGAACCAACTTCCTAATCGTCTATCAAGTCAAGATTAGCCGTGTCCGATTGATTTTTGCCGTGTCCACCCCATATCCCGTACCCGTGTCGTGTCGGGTCGACACGGGTACTCCGGCCGAAGCGAAGAGTCCGAGCATCACAGGCACCACTCCCAACAAATATTTGAAGTTCTTTTAAATCACTGATGATTGATTTGTGAAAATTACATTTATAATATCAAAGGACAGTTAAGTACCATATACACATATTACTAGCTATATGAAATTTACATCCCTAATATAAAAGGCCAAAAAATATGCCATTAAACAAATGAACACACACACACACACAAAAGACATCATAACTCAAGAGTCGCGTGCAAGGTGCCAGATGGAATTATGGAAATAAGGAATGAGACTCCAGTGAAGGAAACACCATCCTACAGAAGTGCCAATGGAACTGGAATTTAAATTACTGTCTTGAAAACACTCTAACCCATGATTCCAGAAGTAACATTAGAAAATGTATACCTCGGAGCATATTGAATAATGAAACTAGTGAGGATCAATCTCATGCTCCTCCATTTTAAGTAACCCAAGAGCTCTGATACTTCCAATTTTGCTCTTCTTAATGTCCAACGGATAATGCTGGCCACTATCCCTTGAAAGCGATGTCTTAAGAAGCCTTCTGTCTAGCTCTGCACACGGCGGCTGCTGCATAGGCTAGAGCTACAGAACGGGAAATTTTGAAAACAACCCCAGTACGCCTCTTGTGGAACATGGGAACACGAATTACCAAGCTTACAGGAACATCTAGAATGCAGGTAAATAACTAAAGTTCCTAGCATATTTTCAAAATGAAGAACCACCAACATCTTGTAAGGATCGATGAATGGACGTTGAGGGGAAATAAATCCACTCAAAGTTCATCAGTTGGTGGAATCAACTATTCTGTTTTTGTTGGATTTTATGCGCAATATTAAAGAAATGAAAAAGAAAATCAACACAAGAATTCACGTGATTCGACGGTGTGCCTAGGTCCACAAAGCGAAGCAGAGATATCTTTATTCAGTAGTGAAAAAAGGATTACAACATATAATTTATACTAACCCTAACCTGGTCCCAGATAAGATTTTAAGGCCCATACAGGAAATACCTCTGTACCGTACCGCAAGGGCGTTGCCCTCAACCCATTCAGCGTCTCTAACAACCAAATAGTGAATTAAACCCGCGCAAGGCCGATGTCGTCGCTCCACTCCTCTCAGTCCACTCCGCTTTGCACCGGGATCAACCCATTTGATCCAAAACCTGTGTTCCACTCTATATGAGTCACATGCACAACAATCTCCACCTTGACGAATATTCACCCCTTAAGAGAAAAAACATAACGTAAAAAAACCACACCATCTAGGACCAATGAGTTGGGACACATCCCCTCTAACACCTAGAGATATTAATCAAGTTCAAGCAGTACTTGAACCTATCCATTGTGATTGGCTTTGTCATCACGTCTGCTACATTCTCTGAGGTATGCACCTTCTCTAACAACAGCTCTCCTGAAGTAACCAACTCTCTTATCTTATGAAATCTCACATTAATGTGCTTGATTCTTGCATGATAAATCTGATTCTTCACTAGGAAGATGGCGCTCTGACTATCACAGTACAGCTTCATTCCATCTTACTTGATCCCAAGTTCCCTGACAAGCCCTTTCAACCACAATAATTCCTTCACTGCCTCAGTTGCCGTTATGTTCTCTGCTTCAATTGTAGATAATGCCACAAGTGACTGCACCATTGATTTCCAACATATGGGCCCACCTGCGAGTGTGAAAACATAACCTATATGGGACCTTCTGTCATCCAAGTCCCCTGCATAATTAGCATCTACATATCCTTGAACTGAAATATCATCATGTTGTCTCTCAAACAAAATCCCGCACTCTTGTAACTTTCAAGTACCTGAAAATCCACCTTACAACTCTCCAATGCTCTCTACCAGGATTAGCCATATAATTACTAACCACACTGACTGCATGTGCTAAATCTGGTCTAGTACACACTATTGCATACATCAAACATCCAACTGTGCTAGCATAAGGTACCTTTGACATCTTTGCAACTTCTTCATTCTTTGGGCACTGATTATTAGATAATCTGAAGTGATTTGCCAACGGTGTAGTAACTGCTTTTACATTTGATATGCTAAACCTCTCTAACACTTTCTTTAAATAATTTTTCTGAGACACTCATAATTTTCTGACTTTCCTATCTCTATTGATCTGCATGCCAAGAATTTTCTTAGCCGATCCCAAGTCTTTCATATCAAACTTACTGCTCAACAAAGATTTTAATTTGTCAACCTCATCCATGTTCTTAGTAGCAATTAGCATGTCATCCACATACAACATTAAGAAAACATATGAGTTACCCTCAAGAACTTTGTAGTAAACGCAACAATCATACTCACAACGACTGTAGCCAATTTGAATCATATGAGAGTCGAACTTCTTGTACCATTGCCGCGGAGACTGGTTAAGCCCGTATAAAGACTTCTTCAGTTTACATACGAGATTCTCTGTTCCTAGTTCCAAAAATCCTTCTGGCTGCTCCATGAAAATCTATTCCTCCAAATCACCACGAAGGAAAGCAGTCTTCACATCCAGCTGCTCTAACTCCAAATCAAAATTAGCAACCATTGACAAAACAATCCTGATGGACATGACTGGGGAGAAAATTTCATCATAATCTACTCCCTTCCTCTGTGAGTATCCCTTTGCTACTAATCGAGCATTGTATCTTTTTCCTTCCTTTTCTGACATTGCTTTTTCTTTCTGTACACCCACTTATACCCTATCTGTTTCTTCCCCTCTGAAAGCTCCACCAAATCCCAAGTATCATTTTTGTGCAGTGACTTAATTTTCCCCGTCATAGCCTCTATCCATTTACCTTTCTCCTGATTACCAATGGCATCCTGAAAAGTTATAGGATCGCTATTGCTGGTAATGAGTGCATAAGAAACCGAATCCTCGAATCCATATTTTGCTGGTGGCTTGATAGTGCAACGTGGTTTATCTAAGGCAACACTATGATATTGCTCCACCTCTGACCTAGAACTATCTGCTCCCTGAGCATTAATTTATGTGTTAACATTGTCTAGCTCTACTTGCACCACTTGGCTCTTACCTCTGCTCTCATCTGAATTGAGCTTCTCTTTATCTGGAGAAGCTTTGAGCATGAATGCTTCATCAAATATTGCATCCCTACTTATCACCATCTTCCTTACCTCTGGATCCCAAAACTTGTAACCCCTTACAACTTTTACATGGCCCAGAAAAATGCATTTTCTTGATTTCAAATCAAATTTGGATCGCTAATCACTAGATACATGCACATAAGCCGGACAACCAAATACTCTCAATTCAGAATAATCAACTTCATTACCTGTCCAAACTTCCTCTGCAACTTTCTCATCTAGTGCTGCTCATGGTGATCTGTTTATGTCATAACATGCCATGTTCACTGCTTCTACCCAAAAACTCTTCAAGAGCCCTGTATTCAGCCTCAAACATCTTGCCCGTTCTGCAATTGTTCTGTTCATCCTTTCCGCTACACCATTCTGCTGCGATGTCTTGCGAACTATATAGTGCCGCCGAATACCATGCTCCTCAAAAAATTTCAGAAACTGTGAATCTGTATACTCTGTACCGTTGTCTATCCTCAAATACTTAATTTTTCTGCCCGTCTGGTTCTCTATTTCTGCTTTCCATAATTTGAACTTGGCAAAGGCTTCAAACTTGTGGCTCATGAAATATTCCCAAACTTTTCTAGAAAAGTCATCAATGAAAGTAATGAAATACTAAGATCCGCCTTTGGACAACTCCCTCACTGGTTCCCAAACATCTGAGTACACGTAATCAAGAATGCCCTCTGTCTTGTGCTTTCCCATCTTGAACTGTACTCTGGACTGTTTTCCAAGTACACAGGACTTACAAAAATCCAGCTTGCATGATTTTACCCCCTTCAACAAATTCCTCTTGTGAAACTCAACCATGCAACGTTCTCCTATATGCCCCAGTCGCATATGCCGTAGAAGAGTGTCATCTGACTTAGATTCTGCTGTAGCAACTCCACCTACAACTGTATCCCCGAGTAGTTTGTAGATATTCCCTACTAATTTCTAACTCTTCATCACAATCATAGCCCCTTTTTTCACTATTAGAGCCCCACATTCTGACTTATAAGAGTAACAATTTGTGTCTAAAGTGCCTAAAGAAATTAGATTCTTTTTCAACTCAGATACATGCCTAACATTTCATTTTCCAAGGTCTTTACCACACCATCGAACATTTTAAATTTTATGGACCCCATTCCAATGATATTACATGATGCATCATTACCTATCAGAACAAATCCAAAATTACCAGAACGATATGAATGAAACTAATCCCAGTGAGGACACGTGATATGAACAGGCTGAATCAAGTACCCAACAATCATTTAATTTTTCAGAATTCCCTGCAGAGACTGATAACATGTCTCCATCTCCAGAATTCGAGTCTCCTTCTGCAACACTAGCTGAGTTTGAGGACTCATCACCTTTCCTTTCATCACCTTGCTTCTTATTAGGACAGTCTCTCTTAAAGTAGCCCATCTGATGGCATTTGTAACACTTGACGTTTTTTTATTTTGATTCATCGATTTTGATCTTGTATTCCCTCTAAAAGAACTATCACCGTCCTTCCTTCTCCCACGATCCTGGTAGCCCTTTACGATCAACCCTTCACCCTTGTGAAGATTTACCAGTATGCAATTTTCGCTGGTTGTAGGTTAACGGGGCTGATGTGACTTCCTTCAATTCGAAAGTCTTTTTATCCCACATCAAAGTGGTCGCCTGATGGTCGTACGAAGGAGGAAGTGAGCACAACAATATCATTGTCTTGTCTTCATCATCAACCTTGATTTCAAGTTGCAGCAGATCGCTGATAATTTGATTGAAAACATTGGTGTGTTGAATTAGATCCGAACCCTCTAACATCTTCAGCGAGTACAACTGCTACTTCATATGCAGCTTGTTCGTGAGAGACTTCGACATATAGCGACTCTCCAATTTCTCCCAATCCTCCGCCGGAGATTCAATGTCCATGACGTGATACATGATCTCGTCCGTCAAACAAAGCCGAATTGTACCAACTGCTCGCGGCTGCGGCTCGAGCTCTTCCCAATCGGCATCTAACGTACCCTCTGGTTTCTTCTCAGATAGTGCCTTCACCATCCCTTGCTGCGCCAACAAATCCTTCACCCTTCGCTGCCATTATCCAAAATTCCCAGATTCATCAAACTTCATCACATCGAATTTTGCAATCAAAGAACTCGCCATCTGAACCTTGCTCCGATACCAGTTGTTGAATTTTATGCGCAATATTAAAGAGATGAAAAGGAAAATCAACACAAGTATTTACGTGGTTCAGCAGTGTGCCTACGTCCACGAGAGCGAAGCGAAGATATCTTTATTCAGTAGTGAAAAATAGGATTATAACATATTATTTATACTAAATCTAACCTAGGCCCATATAAGACTTTAAGGCCCGTACAGGAAATACCCCTATACCATACCGCCCATTTGATCCAAAATCTGTGTTCCACTCTATATGAGTCAAATGCACAACAGTTTTGTTTTTTTCTTGGAAGAGAGTAAAATCTTCCATATTTTGCTTATTCATTTCTGAATGTAGCCCAAGTCTAGAGGAATTCTCCCACCTATCTAAGCTCAATAACACAGAATATAGCATATAAGTAAGATAACTATCTGTGGAAACTATTTACTAAGGAGTGAGGAGATCTACCCAAGGTCACAATATCATTGGAATAGAATTATAGAAGTGCGTGAATTTAATTTTCTTTTATCTTTTCCAAATATCCTCAAAAATGTTGGAAATCAGTTTGCATGAAGATATCAGAAATCATATGATCTCGATAGCATGATAGTCTGAAAGTTTACATTCTTTCACCATTTTTTATCTCCTGGAAAATTTTTATTAGAATGGAGGTTTTGATGCGTTCACTAATGAGGTAAGTTTAGGTGCCTCTCGAGGTCAATTTGGTGCCTTTTTTTCAAATGCAACAACAGTTTGTTGGCTTTCTTCCCTTGAGTCACTTTAAGACGACCTCTTCATAAAAAATAAATTAGCAAGAGGAAAACTGCACATTTTAGTGAAGATAAATTCATAGAAAAAGGAAAGGAAAAGGAAAAACTCTCAAACACTGGTGTCAAAATTTACTACATCGAGAAAAAATGGAAAACAAGTACAGAGGTGAGAAAGGGCATGGCAGCAGTATGCGTGTAGACTTAATCAAGTAAAATTAACATAACATAAATTTTCATTAAAACAATGGAGCAGGCTCCAGGAATCTGAAGCCCATCCCAATAAAAGCCCAACCATTTGTGCAATGTGTACTCTATTTAGATTAGTGAAGACATATTACTCCATCAGTTTAGATTCTTTATCGTAAAATAAATTAGCACATTGCATCATGCTCCATGGCAACGTGCAAGGTACAGAAATACATGTTCTCCTTGCATTTTGCTCTACTGCTTTAGAAGATAGGAATAATAGATAAATTAATTCTTTCAAGCTCCAAGCTTTCAAATTCTCATCTCTTGAAGCTGTTGTTAACGGATATTGCCCACTTAGTGATTAGGTTATCAAAGCTTGAAATGTATCTAGTTTCATTACATCATGCTCACTGTAGTCCCTCTATATACTAACAAAACTATAGAGACAGTGATAGTGTCACAGTCTATTTGAGGTTAAGTTAAACGCCGATAAATTGAATCAGTGTTCGGGCAATCCTGTATTCTCATGTTGATCAAGAAATAACTTTAAAAAAATCTTATGCCAGGTCGGAAGTACTTCATAAAGGCCTCAAAGATCCATGCTGTATGAGCGAAAAGTAGTTGTGAAGAAAGAAAATATACACATGTAAGAATTCGCTTTAATTGGCAATTAATATTAAATTCTGTAAATCGTATCTTGGTCGGGACAAAATTGTTACACTTTGACATTAATGCTTAACAAAGTCACTGTCATAATAAATAATGACCCCCTACATTTGCCATCTTAGTAGATCCTGCTAGGTTTCCTACTCCACTTTTATACTATACTCCACAATATATGCTATTAAGTAACAGTACTTGGTTTTGGTTCAGTTTCGTAACTTCTGCAGAATTGATTGCTTTGTCCAAACAACATTTTGGTTATATATCTCAAATCTCTAGATGCGTTGCTAGTTGATTTTCATAATTTATCCTCGTCTATAAAACCAATTTACCAGAAACACACTGAATAAACAGGGAAAAACAAATATGAAACTCCACTTAAACACAAAGATTTACAGCATATGTACAATAACAATAATATCAATCATTCATAGGCAATTCATAATCAAATAAAGTGACCAAAAATTACCAGAGATACGGTGTCGGGAAGCGAAAGCCACTGATCAAAAAGCTTCTCGGACACGTGAGGGTTGGCTTTAATAGCCAAAGGAGACACCTCCGGTAGCTGCAGCATTTCAGCATCGAGACTCGCCACGTCACCATTGAAATCCATATCCATATCTCTCGACCTCAAAATTAAACAGTCAAATACAAAAATGTTTAAGGCCCAACTCCAATGAATACCTCCAATTCCAAATTTTAACTTTCGTTTACACAGATCTTCAAAGATTTAGAATTGAACGCGCAGAGGTGATAATAGCGAAAGGAGATAATTGTATTATAATTTAAACGAGCTCTAATTCTAATTCCATTTTAATCTGATATCAGTGGGATAAAATTTACAGAGAGATCGAAACCCTTGGAAGCAAAAAAGTTTATCTTTGTGCGAGTGGGGGTGTGTTTGACAGAGAGGCGACCTTGCAATCTATGCTGGAGATTCAGGCCATTTTGAGAAAATTATTTTTTGTGAAACGTGATATTTTTTTGATGGATGTGTGAAGTAGTAAAAAATTATGAATTCACCTATAATTCTTGTTTGATTTAAATAACAATTAAATTTTTAATAAATTTTAATAAAAATTGATAGAATATGTAGTTGAAAATTTATGAATTCTATGAAATGTTGACTTTGACTTGTATTTTAATCAACTTTTTCGTTGAACTAAACAAAAGTATAATATTATTTTATTAGGAGAATATACAGTTAAAATGAAATTAAGATAAAAAAATATATTTTAAAGATATGTGGCAAATTGGGCTCGTTATATAAAAATCAATACCTACAACACGTGAAAGGAATGTGACGATCGTTTTTAATTGTTCTATTGTGTTCGAGTTACTTATTTTGTCGAACAAATAAATTTATAATTTTACGAGTATTGATTAGCACTTCTTCTTTATCATTTCTCTTTGGTAATATATGTAATGCGTGATGTTTAATGTAATAAATTTGATAAAAGTTGGTGGATCTCATTAAATATGATAGTTAAAAGTGGATAAGAGTTATTAATCTATATCTATATCTATAATTTATTAAAAGTGGGGATGGTGGTGAAACTTTTAAAAACCAATTTTACCCTTACATATTTAACTATATGCCCACTATACCACCATAATTTGAATAACAATTTAATTAGTATTTATCATTTGGTTTAAAATTAATATAGTATACGGAGTGAAATATTTATTGATATTTATCATTTTATATTAGAATTAATATAAGGAGTGAAACTAACATTCAATTATATTGAAAAAAGAAAACAAAAATCAGCGACTTACCATTCAATTGACCATTTTGTTCTCACAATTTTTATTTTCCACCAACGAATCAATTTTTATTTTTCATCAACAAAACCTTTACTTATCTTCATGATTTACGTTATAATTCATGCAATGAATTTTTATTTTTCGTCAACAGAGCAATTTTTAATCTTCATACTTTATATTATAATTCATCCATTAAGTTATTATTATTATTTAATTGAGGTTATAAATATTTTAAAGGTTGCATTTGTATATTAATGAGGATATTCAATGAATAAAAAAGAAATTACACACGAAAATTCAATGACTAACATTCAATTGATTTTTTTCTTTACAATTTTTAATTTTCATCAACAGAGCCCTTATTACCAATTTAATTAATATTTGTCATTTGATTTAGAATTAATATAAGTGGTGAAATATTTAATTGATATTTATCATTTGGGTTGTAATTAATATAAAGAGTGAAATTGACATTCAATTATTAAAAAAAAAAAAAAATCAACGAAAATTTAGTGACTTATCATTCAATTGAATATTTTGTTCGTACAATTTTTATTTTCTATCAACAAATCAATTTTTTATTTGTTCATCAACAAAAAACTTATTAATTTTCATGATTTACATTATAATTCATCCATTGAGTTTTATTTTTCATTAACAAAGTGATATGATCCAGGAGTCGAGCCCGACGAAGGCAAGTGCGAGACGAAACCCGTTGATAGTCGATGGCGGATCAATGACACGATCAAGAGCAAAACAAGTAAAACAAGCGATGGGATTGCTCGTTCAAGAAACTATTGATGGAACTATGTTCAGGACTCAAAATGGGACAAGTTTCGTGTTCGGGTCGAAGGCCGAAACAAAATAGATCAATGCGTTACGAGCAGCCGAAAACGAGAATGGGCAGTGTAACCATGCGGCCGCACAACATGAGACCGAGATTTCAATTGGCCAAAATTATATTACCTTGCGGCCGCACGTGTTATAACCATGCAACCGCATGGTTCATTTCTGGGCGCGATTTTTCTTTTTTCCGCGTTTTTCCTTATTTTACTAGAATTTCATTCTTAATCAAACTCCTACCATATTGGACGAATATTTTAGGAATTTTGTTAGATTATTAGAATTATATTTCCTTTTTGACTCCTATTCGAGGAATAGTATAAATAGGAGAATACTTTTTAATTGTAAAAATCTTTGAACTTTGACTATTGCTTAATATTATAGAGAGAGAATTGTTCTTTCAATTTATTGTTCTTCTTGAACAATCTTGGAACTTATCAAGATTCAACTTCTTGTGGCGTTCTAATCAATCGGATTGTGGGTTATTTTAATTGTAATTCAAGGGGTTTTAGGTTCTTCACTAATCTAAGGTTTCTTAGTTCAATTCTTGGGGTTCGGATCCAAAATTGGGTTAGTATTGGCGTTCTTGGGTTCCGCATCAATCTCGTTGTGGGTTTCGTAGTTTCCATTGCTATGGAGTTCGCATCGGTTGATATTAGAGTTTTGGCTCCAATTTAATCAGGTTATATCCTTTGTTTTTTAATTTTTTTTTTCAATTTCTTGTGTTCTTGTGTCCAGAAGATTTTCTTGATCTTTGATCCAAAAAAATTTCATCAAAAATCTTCAAATTCCGTTTTTGGGCTCAATTTTCGCCCAAATCAGTTTTCATTTTCTTTGTTGGTTTTGTTATTGATTTCCGGATCTTTAAAAAAATTACTATTCATCCGTACGGTACTGTTAATCCGTACAGTAAAAAAACTTGTTGAATATTATTGATCCGTCAAATACCAACTTTTATTATTCATTATCATTTCTAAATTACTTGGATACATTGAATCACTCAATTCCTTCATTCAAATCAAATTTTAAAAGTTTTCTTTGAGTCTTTTGTTACAATTATTTAGTCACATCCGGTTTGGGGAATTCTACACAAATTGATTGATTGATTGAGTTCATTAATTGTTTCTAGAAGCAATTGTTGAAAGAATTGAGTGGTAAAAGGCAGAGAGGTAAGCTTAATAGAGGGTAAAAGCCTTGTGTGTGTTTCCGAGTGACTTTTGGTGAGGCAGTAAAATAAAATTTTAGTGTTAGGATGTCAGAAAGGGCAGAATCAAACTCAAGCTGATAAGGCAATAATAGCAATATAACGGAGGATTTAGTGCAAAAGGTTTGAGAGGGCGTTTGGAGATGTGAGAAATAGGTTGGAGAAACAGGAGGCTTGGATGAATAGATTAGATACATCGATGGCTAATTTTAGTCGGGAGCATCGAGTGGATGTATCCAGAGGACCGAATAGATGGGAACCTAGGAGGGAAAGACGAGAGGAGTATGGATATGAGAGTGACATGGGCGAAGATGAATTTCACGGTGTTGAGATGACAAGGATGAGAAATAGAGGCGATAAGTTCGACAGACGGGGTCGGAATGATCGCGGGGAGGAGTTGGATGGAAACTTGGGAAATATAAAAATGACAGTTCCTTCATTCAAAGGAAGGAGTGATCCCGAGGCATACCTGGAGTGGGAAAGGAAGGTTGAAATGATCTTCGAGTGTTATAACTATTCGAAGGAGAAAAATATGAAGTTAGCAGTTTTGGAGTTCAGTGACTATGCAATTTCATGGTGGGATCAAGTGATTACTTCACAACGTAGGAGTGGGGGAAGACCAATCAACAATTGGGAGGAATTGAAGTCATTGATGAGAAAGAGGTTTGTTCCTAGCCACTATTACCGAGAGATCCATCAAAAACTGCAAGGTCTATATCAAGGGTCGAAAAGTGTAGAGGACTATCATAAGGAGATGGAAATACTCATGATTAGGGCCAATGTGGTGGAGGATCGGGAGGCTGCCATGGCACGATTCTTGAATGGGTTGAATAGGAAAATTGCCAATGTAGTGGAGTTGCAACATTATGTGGAGTTGGAAGACATGTAGCATGTGGCTATGAAGGTAGAGAGACAGCTGAAGAGGAAAGGGGCAACTAGGCAGCCGTTAGGAACTTCGAGTGTTAATCCAACTTGGAAGCCAGGGTGGGACAACAACAACAAATGTGATAAAACTGTACCTAAAGGTAGGAATGAGTGGCAGAAAGGGAAAGAAGAAAGTACTAGCAAAACAGCACCCAAAACAGATTCACAACCATCAAGGAATCGAGACATCAAGTGTTTCAGATGCTTGGGGTCAGGGCACATTGCTTCTCAATGCCCAAATAAACAGGTAATGGTTTTGTTGGATAATGGAGAAGTGGTGAGTGAAAGTGACGGAGAGTTTGAGGACATGCCTGCATTGGAGGACGTTGAAGAAGAAGAAAAATTGGAGTTTGCTGTTGGGGAATCATTGGTGTCAATGAGAGCTCTTAACACTCAAGTCAAAGTGGATGATTCGGAGTAGCAGCAAGAAAATATATTCCACACGTGTTGTTACGTCAACGATAAGGTATGTAGTATGATTATTGATGGTGGGAGTTGCACGAATGTAGCTAGTAGAACTTTAGTTGAGAAATTAAGACTAGCATTGTTAAGACACCCTAGGCCTTATAAGTTGCAATGGCTGAATGAAAGTGGGGAAGTTAGGGTGAATAAAAGAGTTTTAATTGATTTCTCAATTGGGAGTTATAGTGACAAGGTAGTATGTGATGTGGTGCCTATGCATGTAGGTCATATCTTGTTAGGAAGACCATGGCAATATGATAGAAGGGTCACACATGATGGTTATAGGAATCGTTATAGCTTTGTCAAGGATGGAAAGACTATTACTCTTGCGCCATTAACACCGGCACAAGTGTATGAAGATCAAATCAAGCTGAAAAGTGAGGAAGATGAGAGAATAAGAGAGTCAGGAAAAATGAGAGGCAATAGTGAAACTATCGCTAAGAGAGAAAATAGTGAGGTGGCTAAGAGTGGAGAAAAGAAAGAGAAGCCACATGAGTGAAAAGAAAAAGAGTCAGTTGAGAGGAGAGAAAAAGAGTCAGCTAAGCGGAGAGAAAAGTCAAAGGTCAACTTCTATGCAAAAGAGAGTGGGTTAAAAAAGGCTATGAGCGATAATAGGCAGATGATATTGTTAGTGTACAAGGAGTCCCTCCTCAATTTCAAGGATTCTAACACATCCCTCCCTAGTTTGATTAAGTCTTTATTGCAGGAGTTCAACGATGTGTTTCCTGAGGAGATGCCAAGTGGATTGCCACCAATCA